ATCTCGCCTGGGGAGCGTACTACGCCAAGCAGAGACCTGGTTGATGACGTCACACCGGCCCGCTCCACTACTCTTCCGGGCGTTGCTACGTGATCTGAAGTAGTGCCGGTAGCAGCAGCCATGGTTACCATGGATACACCAGCCACGGTCGTAGGCTGCACGCCGCCGATGTTGTCCTGGCGACGGTGATGGCGGCCCGGCGCCTGGGGATGTGGTGAAATGGCGCCTGGTGATGGCATTGCACCAAGACCTCCTGCAAGACCAAAAAAACAACGACACAGCATCGCGTGCGTCCAATTCATTATGCTGGTTCATAGAGAGTGCTGGTTCATAGAGGGTACTGGATTTTAAAGAGAAAAGACTGTATTTGTTAAAGTGTACCTCTTCCGATATGCGACTGATGGCGGTGCCCTAGCAATGGCGTGGATGTCACTGGGCCATCACTGCCTGATGAGCTGAGTATGGGGCCTTGCGGACTATCCTCCTGTTAACGTATACACACACGGACATGTATATACACGCACACACGCATGCACACACACACACACACACGTGCACACACACCCACCCACACACACACACACACGCACGTACACACACACACACACACACAACACAGCGGCGGATCCAGAGTTCAGTTGAGGGGAGGGCGCGGGTAATATTCATGACAGGAAACCTATGCGGTACCTGTATTTTGTACACATTACGTCATAGGCTTAGCGGTTATGTAGAATTACTATTTTTAACACATGCACTCACTCCCACTTTTTCAACCACTTCATTGAGGACTCTGGCTGTAGTAGAACATAGCCGTACTGCGTTGAATTGTGTAAAGATAGTGCTTCAAAGCTCCAGACATGCTGAGATCGAGAACAGTGGCAAAATAATAAAATATACGATTACTAAGATGGCCATGTACAGCAGTAAGAATGGATGATGAGGTATTCACCTCGGGTTGATCCTTGTCGATGCAATGTATGTAGGAAACGGGACGCACGGCGCACAAAAAACGCCTTCCTCGCCAGCCTTTCCGGAATAGGCAAGCCACTCAAACCACTTCAGTAGCAGCGAGCGAGTGGAAGTACCGGTCTTTCGGCGACTGTCGGGATAATCCCTAGATGGCAACACCGTCTGCTTATCAGGCTTCCGGTTCCCAAGTATGTTGCGCTTTTCTGCATCGCTGAGAGTTGCACCGCCAATAGCTGCATCAACAGCATCCGAGTAACTTCGCTGCGTAGCAGTGCCACCAGCCACATTCGTGACAGTCACAACGTCGTCATCTGCGATAGTTTCAACAGGTAAACGCTCCTGACTCGCATCACTACTACTGACAGTCCCACCATCGTCGTCAGAATCTACTTCGGATTCCATTTGGGGAAGATCAGAGTCTGAGCAGACCTCGATCTCAGGATCTTCGCGGTGGTCCGAATTCTCCTCCAAAGACGGATCGCTCAACTGAGCAGCTGACGAAGCGCAAGTTCGCTTCGCGAAAAATCCGTGGAGAGTTTGTTGGCTCCCTAGCCGCTTGGGCGGGCGGTGCGCCATCCCCTTCACCGACTTAGCTATACAAGTTCGTCAACTGAACACTAATTTCAAAACTAAAAGTCAACCAAAGTCTAAGAGAACAACTACTCCGTGTTCAGAAGAACTTTCTTATCTGACACTAGAAACCAGGGAGTAGTAAAATACATATTTTACTACTCCCTGCTAGAAACTACTTGTCACAGCATGTGCAAACACTTGCGCAACTGCCCATCCATGTGAATGCACTAAAAAACATCGAACTGTTTGAGGGGAGGGCGCGCGCCCACCGCGCCCTCCCCTAGATCCGCCACTGCAACACAACCTTTCTCCTATTACCTTCATCACATACATGCATTTATCTAAAATACAGCTAGAACAGGGCTGATAACAATCGTCGTGACTTACGAACGATGGTGATGTACTGCTTCGTGGTAGAAGACTTCCACCACTGCTGGTGCCACTAGCACTGCCGCCCGCTACAAATATACAAGAACAGTAAGGGGGAGAACATAACATACAACATGACACATGTGAACCGAGCGGGGTATATCGCTGAATATACTGTAATTTCACAAATTTCCTGTACTTTCGGTGCGTCCGTTTCATACCTAAAATTTCAATACGCCGAACAAACACCAACACACAGAATCCAATAGGGAACTGCTTCTCTGTACCTAAAATTTCTCTTCACCTAACCTGGCCTTTTGCCCTCATACCGAAAATATTGAGCACTGAAAATTTCTGAAGTTAGAGTACATCACTAAATACTCTGTATACCCTGCTCCGAACGGCCACCGATTGACTGAAATCGCCCAAACCGCACTGTGCCATGGGATAGACCTACGGTGACACTTGGGTATGGGGTTGCCGTAGCTACAAGGAGCGTACTGAACAACCGTTTCACTGAACTCCTACCGGTATACTGTACTACATATCCAGTCAGACCTCGCTTATCCGGTCCTCACTTATCCGGATCCCTCGCCATCCGGAAGAAAATCGTTGGTTACAGATTTACAGCATATGTCAGGCATACGTACAATATGTGTGTTCGATTATCCGGTTCCCTCGCCTATCCGCATATTTTTGGGGGAAATGGATGTGTGCAGTTAACGTCGTGAATCGAGCACCAAAACATTGGAGTGGCAGTTGAGAAGGCATGGAGGTACACCCCACTGCTAGCTTGTACTACTCATCAAAGACTAAGTTTTCTGCAATCCCAAATGATGGTGGTACTCACACGTATGTCGGATGTACTGGATTCGAACGGCCGAGTTTGTGCGCCGCACCGACACCGACCCGTCGCTGCTGCTGCTGGTGCTCTGGAGGGCAGGCGTGTCCCCAGCTCCACCTCCACCACCACTGGCACTGGTCTCATACGCGCCTTGCTCCTCGGCCCCCGCCCTCGCCCCCGCTGGTACTGGTGCGTTTGTCACCGCCGCCGCCGCCGCTGTTCCAGTGGCGCTGGCGGCGACGCTGGGAGGCTGCGTGGACGTGTTGCTGTTCGAGCGGCGCCAGGACGGCGGGCGGATCGCCATCGCCATGGCAACGTGGGCGCTGGTGGCGCCGCCGATACGCGACGCCGACAGCGAGGACGAGGAGTCGTTCAGCAGCGGTGTGGCAACCATGTCCGCTTCCGGTGGTGCCATTAAATCCATGTCAGTGTCCTTGTCCACGACACTGCCCTGTCGAAGCGGCGGTCGATCAGGCAAGTGCGGCGGTAGAAGAGGCCCCGAGGGAGACATCACTCCCGGCGGTTCCGAGACTGCCTCGTGCGTGCTCGGCGGAATAACGGTGCGTAGCTCAGCGGAAGCGGCCTGGGCAGCAGCAGGGGCGGGAGAAGACGGCGCATCCTCCGCTGCAAGCTCGGCTGCTTCCGGCGACAACGGATCCGTCTTGTCCAGGGTATCGACGGCATCCTCACCGAGAGCGGCCGCATCGCTGGCTGCCGAGTCACCGCCTTCCTGGCTGACCGTCCATTGGCTAAGCTCCTCACCAGTGGTGAAAAGAGAACGATGGGGAGCGATGCTTTCCACTACGGCAGCGGGCTGAAAGAAAGAAAGAAAAAGAGAATAAATGATCGCGTCCGTTCCCCAGGGAACTCACGGCGACGGCCGCCAACACCTTGTTAATACAACGCTGGATTTACCGGGTGTTAGCGGGCTGAAAGCAGTGAGGCGAGAGAAAACAAGATTTGTGTCAGAGCCAATGAAGCAACTTAACTCTTGCATACCCGGGATTATAATCTGCAACTTTCTTGAAAGCACCCATGGTCATTTCGTGCAGAAAATGCGTACGGATTACATCACTATGACATCATCGTCCACATGCTCTGTACCCAGCCTTTACCTGAGGTGACGGCTGGCGGTTGCGTTGTGCGCTCTGAGCCGCTGCCGGAGCTCCTTGCAGCAGCCGGGCCAGGCCAGTCAGTCTCTTCGTTGACGACGAGGACGATGACGAGGATGCTGACGGCAACACCGCTAACGACATCGTGCTCGCAGCCACTGCCGGAACACCTTCAGTGCTGGGCGGTCGCGACGGAGATACGTTGCCATGGCTGCTGCCCGAAGGACGGAATTCGACGGAGAGATCTTCGGTGCCGTCTGACTGGCTGCCTTCAACGACATCGTCGTCAATATCTATGGTGCATGAACAGAGGACGCACCCGTACGCATGCATGCATACACACACACACACACGCACACGCACACACTCACACACACACACACACACACACACACACACACACACACACACACACACACACACACACACACACACATACACACACACGCATGTGCACACACACACACATACACACACACACACACACACACACACACACAGGGACCTTCAAAACGTGATCGTTTTGTACAGGTGATCTCCTTATCCTTGTTCACTTTAGAGAATTGATACCCATTGGCCCCCGGCTGTGAAGGTCCTCCAGAACAGGTGGTTGCTTCATCAGCGTGGTCATCTTGATAGGATTTATTGTACGGTGCTGCTCAACAAAATCCAATCGTGAGAGTCCAGTTTGCGTCCTGCAGTAGCACACAGCCCAGTGTTCCCAGATCTGGGGCTGCAGAGCGCCTGGCATGACGTTGACTCAGTCGATCGGATTTCAAGGAGCAGCATTTTACTACCAGTACCATGTACAATATTTATAGTTTTCATGCATTGAGAGCAGAGGACATGTATACACAGTATGTGATGCAGTGAAGTTAAATAATTTGAAACTACATCGTACCTGACAACAACATCGCAGCAGGACACCCCCCAGCTATTCATGTTCTTACGTGAAACACTCAGATCGATCACGCAAACAAGCTCAACAACAAAAGGTCCACGTCGTCAACGTGCGAGCCAGCCCAGAGAGTGCATTTACAGCAGAAATCAGCAATCTTGTTCGTGCTGTACACTTTCAACACCATACGATACAATTGTTTTCATTTTTTGGTGTTGTGTTCTAATCAGTCACCATGCCACCGTGAATTGTATTCTTTTGCCCGTAAAGGAGGCTTGTCCTCGGCCTCACTGTAGTATACGATAACAGAGTCCATTAACAGTACTTTCCCAACCAGGACAACACACTGCCAGTAGTGGAGTTTGTTTTCTACGGCGGTAGTGAATACAATAATTATTAAAATCATTTAGAAGTCTGAAAGTGATTTACAAAACACATTTTGAAAGAGGTGCGATTTCAAATGCATCAAGTCTCGAACTTTGATTTAGCCATCAATTACTGCCGGCTTACCCGACATCGTTGTTGATCAACAGCCTGGTGATCGCTCCACAGAATGTCCAGAAGAACGAATATTTATGACATGAGTCATTGGCTTCTCTCTTCTTCAATCTCGTTATCACTGGTTATTTTCACTTTCCAGAAAGATTCTGTACTTTTGCTTTCCATCAAACATGTTCGAACACGAACTACCACATGTGTGGCCACGTGAAGTGAAACTTTGCCTTTCCCGCGCTTTGAGTCCCCGTCCTCATTTTTTTCGTGTGAAAATATCAGAAAGACTGTTTTCAAATTTCGAACGAATTTTCTCAGGCCAGAAGCAGAGCTGCCAGTAAACCCAAGCATAAACTCACTCTCACCTTGTGCACCATGCCTTATCTCGGTTGCTACGGCCAGATCCATGCTCAAGTTTCTCGAAATCAAAGGTTTGGGATTTTTTCTCGATCTGGCCACGGTCACATGAGCAGGTGCATGCACTCTGCACAAACAAACTGCCTGGGCTGTCTTGCTCCAAAGAGAAAAAAATCGTCCTTGATGGTTGAGGGAGAAGGTGAAAAGTTTTTGAGAAGTTCCTAAAATGCCAGGACATGAAGATTTAGCTATGCTCTCTGTTGGTTGATGCATTTACGATGTCTTCGGATCCTAGCATCCAGCGTAACCAAGTGGCGGACTATTTCGTCCTAGTGGGTTTGGGAGACTCAATTCGTCGATACAATGCCGAAACTCAGTTGGCTGAAAATGCAATTGACGGGAGCGCAGCGAGTCGTGCTTCATCCTCCGACTCCAGTGAAGACACTGAACTGAGGCAGCTTGAATTGCCCAGTGTCCTCGACCCTATAACTGACATTGGTGTTGTGTTCATGGCAGTTGGAGAGCAGATTCCACCTGAGTTTTGCTGCATCAGTGCTACACCAACTGGACTGTGTGCTAACTTCAATCATGCTACGGCGAACAGCCCAAAGGCAGTGTACCTGTGTTACAGGCGAGGCAAGGACAGGCCACCTCTCACCGACGTCGAGTAAGATATAAAACAAGTGTTTTGTTCATGTTGCTGTCGATAGAGCTAGGCTTACGTTTGAATGAAATTTGAAGTTGGCATCTACATGTGCTAGCAATTTGCTGTGGCTATCGAGCACATTTTACTGATGAATGCCATTGCATATTCGTAATTGCATATCGTCATGGGTGCTGTGTACTTAGGGGACGACGTACAATGTATCTAGTATTATTTGCTTTTGCGAAGTTCCCTTGTGTCGGAGGAAATCTTGTACGATGCAAACCAGTTTCAATGCTAGTGTTGAAAATACAGTACAGTACAGTAATGTACACAAATCATTGCTTTGCTATTCATCTGGGTGGCTGAATATCATCAAACAGGGTACCCTTCTCCGATTTATGATGACAGCCAGCGATGTCTGTGTCGTTACATGGAAATGCATGCCTTCAAAATGCTGGGCTGAAAAGCGAAAACCCATCACCTTTCTGTCATATCTGTTGTTGACTCTTACGTCAAGCACATACGTACATTCTAGATATGACTACTAGGGCTCAAACGGTCACGGTTTTACCCCTGACGGTTAACTGCTAAGCTAACGGTCGGTTAACCGGTTATAACCTATAAGCCACGGCAATCCTGCGGACTTTTTAACCGTATATTTGACTATACTCATTCAAAAAATGTACCCTATTCAGTACAACGCACACTTGTACATTCTCTTGCATGTTCATTCATACATACTCTCACACCAAGAGACCAGATATGACCAAGTTGACAGCCCAGAAATATTAATTGCGTACGCGTGCGACAGCCCGCGAAAGTGCATACTTTGCAACGACCTGATACTTGAAAAATTGACTGAAAAGTTACTGCCTAACCGTTATCTTTATCGGTTAACCGTTAATTCTTCGTAACCGGTCTGCAACCGGTTAATCGGACTAATCGTTTGAGCCCTAATGACTACTATGATCTACGGGAAAGATGTGTGTGTGTGTGTGTGTGTGAGAGAGAGAGAGAGAGAGAGAGAGAGAGAGAGAGAGAGAGAGAGAGAGAGAGAGAGAGAGCGTATGTGTGTGTGTACGTGTGTGTGTGCACGTGCGTGTCTACGTGTGTGTGCACGTGCGTGTGGTAGAGAAAGAGTGTGTGTGTGCGTGCGCGCGCGAGAGAGAGAGAGAGAGAGAGAGAGAGAGAGAGAGAGAGAGAGAGAGAGAGAGAGAGAGAGAGAGAGAGAGAGAGAGAGAGAGAGAGAAAGAGAGAGTGTGTGTATGTGAGTGAGAGAGAGAGAGAGTGTGTGTGTGTGTGTGTGTGTGTGTGTGTGTGTGTGTGTGTGTGTGTGTGTGTGTGTGTGTGTGTGTGTGCATGTGTGTCCCATATGGTGCAGTGGTATGTGCAGCGATTTCCAATCGATAGGTTGCGGGTTTGATTCCCGACGATTATGATTACACACGTCTTTCTTCTCTTTCTCAGACTCTTCCTGACTTTTCTTTCATTCTCCTGGGTGGTTACCAACAGCCAGTGCATGCCGGAGTATGTGGTGTGATGTGTGTGCGGGAAAAAAAAATGAAAAGACCAAAAATATTGATTCACTGGCCAGAAAAAGTCACTTCAAATAGCTGTATGGTGTAGACCAGGCTGAATAGTGACGGTCAATTCTTCAGCCTTGCAAGCTGTTGAATGGTGCAATCCCAGCACAAGTTGCTATGGCTTCTGCCGTAGCATTGCTATCATCGCCTCCGGCGATGGGCGTCAAAGGTCAAAGGTGTGTGCATGTGCTGTAAACAAACTGAACGTACCTCTTACAGAGCTTGGATTGGAAATAGCTGTCCACAGTCTGTGATTAGGAATCACGAATCGATGACATGCATACGCAGACGCGCACTTACACACACACACACACACACACACACACACACACACAAGTTCAACTTCACTTCTGCCACGTCTTGAGGGAAGTGATAGTTGTGGGATACCAACCAGCAAGAGTATACACAATCATGGAGAGTAGAGAAATGATGGTAAACACACACACACTTGGTGAATGGTGGTAAAACACACGTGGCGTATGGCGGGTAGATACATGTATGCCCACACAACACTTTGCGCTAAACGTTTCCCATTTCACTTTTCTCCTGGGTTATATTATGCTGCATTGGAATCTTCACGTGATACAGTGCTGCTCAATGAAATCCAGTCGAGTCACTCAAGTCTGCGCCGTGCGTTGCGCAGCCCTAGACCTGCAAACACTGGGCATGGGCTGCGAAATGATACGAAAAACCGGCGCAGACTTGAGTGACGCGACTGGGTTTCATTGAGCAACACTGTGTATACACATGGACATTGTATGACATGTTCCAGGAGTGTAAAACCTAGAGTAGTGAAACTACGTTTTCAGTCGAAGTACTGTAGTCTGGTGCTGTTCCTATTGCCATGGATTCTACACATCAACACCGTTCAACTTGGTGCAACACCACGCCCTGCTGCTGCTGCTTGGCAACAGGTAAGAGATACATTCAGCTCGTTATGGAGGCTCATCTCTGCCCTCTCTCGCTCTCTCTCTCTCTCTCTCTCTCTCTCTCTCTCTCTCTCTCTCTCTCTCTCTCTCTCTCTCTCTCTCTCTCTCTCTCTCTCTCTCTCTCTCTCTCTCTCTGTCTCTCTCTCTCTCTCTCTCTCTCTCTCTCTCTCTCTCTCTCTCTCTCTCTCTCTCTCTCTCTCTCTCTCTCTCTCTCTCTCTCTCTCTCCCTCTCTCTTTCTCTCATGCAGTGTTGTCTACAAGGGAGTGGCACCATATCAGTTTGATGTCATAGTGCGCAGCGTTCAGGGCAAACACAATGCGGACATCAATCACTCGTCCGCCGGCCCGCCCACCAATATCTGCTATCGGCGTGCTAGCGCACACTCTGGTCGTCACTTCTACGGCATGGCTGTCACTGACCTGTGTGTCATCAACAGTAGCAAGGTATGATGCACGCCCGTTGGCGTGTGTGTGTGTGTGTGTGTGTGTGTGTGTGTGTGTGTGTGTGTGTGTGTGTGTGTGTGTGTGTGTGTGTGTTCGCCCATTATCGTTACACTCCCACACACATTGATACAGATGCTGGGATGAGCAATGGGTGTTTACTGTATAACACCTTTATTTCGGTGTAATGTAAATTTCGGTAACTTCGGTACTGGTCCTGGATCACCTAATTTAACATTACACCTAAATTTTCCGAAATACCAAAAATATGTAAAATCATGAAAATCACTGTCAATGTAAAAAAATCAACTTGTCTACTGGTACATGACATACAATGTATGTGGAGCCTAGCCGGAGATATTACCGTACTAGTGCAAGAGCGTTTTTGTTTTTTGTTTTTTTTGGTGCCACATACCGAATTTATCCTTACACCGAAAGATCAGGGGCTGGCTTTTACCGAAATTTTACAACACCGAAAATAAGGTGATATACAGTATCCTAGTACCAGTAGCCTCTATTAAATCTGTTGTTGCTGGGAGGGACAGAATCCAACTGAAGTTGTTTGGTGTTGCTGTCTGTTTGTGTGTGTGTGCGTGTGTGTGTGTGTATGTGCGTGTGTGTATGTGTACGTGTGTGTGCATGTGCGTGCGTGTGTGTGTGTGTGCGTGCGTGTGTGTGTGTGGACAGGGCGAGCAAGTGCCAAGAGGGTTTACGAGGATTGACCGTGCTATCCGCGCTGGCCTGGTAAGAGAAACGATGCTGTGTGTTGCATCCATTCTTAGACATCAGTTGTATGAACCTTGAACTAATACAGTGTATCGATGAAAGTGCTTTTAAAAATAAAAACTCGAATGTTGAGCCGATAGAAATATGTAAAGAGAAAAGGACCTATACGTTAGTGCGTCACTATCTGACTGTATTTTCTCTCGTCGCCTTGGTGGACTGTTAGTCACTATCTGACTGTATTTTCTCTCGTCGCCTTGGTGGACTGTTAGTCCTAACCAGTAATGTATAGGTCAGGGGATGACAATGTGCTCACTTTACTTTCATCGATGTTAGGTTTCTTGTCTCCACGCCGACTTGTTACTACAGTGTAGTATGTGTCTACTCTAACTTCAGAAATTTTCCGTGCTCAATATTTTCGGTATGACGGCAACAGGCCAGGTTAGGTGAACAGAAATTTCCGGTACAGAGAAGCAGTTCCCTATTGGATCACGTGTGTTAGTGTTTGTTCGGTGTATTGAAATTTTAGGTATGAACCAGACGCACCGAAAGTACCGAAAATAAAAGTACACCGAAAATTTGTGAAATTTCAGTATTTTCTTCTCTAACCTGACTCACTATATTCACCCGACTTTCCTAGCGAAAGCCGATGTCGATTGGCACGTTTTCTTGATGGAGTTACAATACATACCGTGATGTCGCGTATGAAAGCCGTGCTTGTTCCTGTAGAAGCCGGTGTCAATACGCCGATTGCGCAATGACGTAATTTGTACCATAAACACCCCACACAGCCACCTGGGCATGGTCGTCTGGGGGTGTTGAACAGTGCATTGCTGATCCCAGTGTACTCACATAACACCCCACACAGCCACCTGGGCATGGCCGTCTGGAGTGTTGAACAGTGCATTGCTGATCCCAGCGTACTCACATGCATTACTCATACACTCTATATTTGGCAATGCACAATGGGCTTATGCTAGGCTTCTATTCAAGTCAGGCTTCTATTCAAAGCACGTATCTCTATGTTTGTCAATACTAATATCTGACTTATGTGCTGACAGTGTATCTTTTAAAATCAGGCTTCTTTAAGTTACGAGACAGGCTTTAGACACTACAGTACCCTATATTTATGGATGTCATTTGCTTGTTTTACTATGGCTGCTGCTGATGCTGCTGTGTGTTATGTAGACTGGCCCCTCGTTCTATTTGGCGTACAAGAAGTCGCTGGTCAAGCCGCATGCAGTGAGCTACCAGGCTGGTAAGTGTGGTGTTACAGTTTTGTGTGTGGGTATGGGTGGGTGGGTATGTGGGTGTGGGTGGGTGGGTGTACGTGTGTATATGTGTTTGTTCGTGTGTTTGTGTATGTATGTGTACGTCTGTGTATGTGTGTGTACGTTTGTATACATGAGTGTGTATTAATTTTGCGTGCGAGTCTGAGTGTGAGTATTAATTTTGTGTGTGTGTGTGTATGTACATGAAGAAAGAAAGAAAGAAGAACGGTGTAGGCTAAGAGGCTGCTCCCCAGTTCTTCGAGAAACGACAGTGCTGTGCTGTAATGACTATCGAGCTTCACCGTTGGTATGTCTGCTGTTCTTGTGCATTCTGCTGGCAGGTATATTGTCTCGCTACCCGGCAACGGACTACCCCGACTTCCCTCTGCCCGAGTCAGTGCCGCTCTTCTGTCTACCACTCGGCGCCAGTGTAGAGAGCTGGAGTCAGGAGACCGACTACCCGCTGCCAACGTTCTCGTCGTTTGTCCTGACGCACACCACCGGAAACAAGGTACGTATTAGTATTGTTGTCAGGTGGCTGTACAGCCACAACTTTGTATGTTTATCGTTCTCCATCAACTGTACAAGCAGAAATATTCGTCTGGAATTTAATTTCGTCTTTTTCGTTCAAGGAGCTTTGGGACTAAATTAAATGCCGGACGAATGTCGATTTGTCCAGCGTTTCAAAACGCTGTTATAGTCCATGGACTAAATTTTCAACCGGACGAAATCCCTTTCTTTGGAGTTGGACGAAATTATTGACCGACGAAATGTTCTGCCTGTACAGTACGCGGGAGGGAAAGCATCTGAAATATATTGCCCAGTACTTGCAGAGAAATGATTGTAGAGTGGACACTGAAATTGAGAAGAAATAGTGTTTACATGTAGTTGAGGGATGGAAAGGGGAAGAGTTTTCTAAAGAAAAATTGACTGTCACCACCAGGACTTGAACCAGGGACCTTCGCTTGAGGCAAAAACATGGTTTGTTCTTTTTCTCCCTTCCGAGTAGTCTCGGTAGCTTACCCGGTATTGGCAAACCTCACTCAAACACTTCACTATAGTATACCGGTAACTCATTTCACCATGAAAACAAAGTTGCATATGTTGCCTTTGCAGCATATTTTCAAAAAGAAAGTGGCAGGAGTTCCTGATGTAAAGTGGCAGGAGTTCCTCTGCAGTTTCTTTCCCAGATTATACTTAATCTTACTTGTATTCGCTGCGTTATATCAGTTTGGGTGCTCGTGTTTTTGTGCATGTTCTTTCCCTCGACAGGTCTATGGTGCGGCGGTGTCCTTTTACGAAGATGTCTCCGACCACGGCAGTATTGAGCAGATGAAGAAGGCATTGTTCGGAGAAGACGAGCCACAGTCGGTATGTAGCATGTGCCAGTGTACTCGTGTGTATGGCGATGAGCAAGCTAGAGAGAAGAGAGACAGACCGACACACACACACGCGCGCGCGCGCACACACAAATGCACGCACATATACACATATATACACACAAACACGCACACACACACACACACATGCACATGCGCATGCACACGCACACGCACACACACACATACATGCACACACGCATACCTACACACACACACACGCACGCACGCGTGCCAGGCTGACAGGCAGACTAACTGACTGACTGACATTCTACCGAAGCTTGACCTCCGCACTATGACCCACCTCCACGGTTAAGCCTGATGAGCCTCCTAGCCTAGGCCGTTCTTATTTTCATGTACAGCAGTATTCACCTCTCAGCCACTACGTGTATATCCGTATTCTGTGCTTGGTGAAATCCCAGCCTGTTCGTTCTTCGCCGCCTATCAGTACCGCACTTTATTCGTGTGTTTGTTTGTTTGTTTGTTTGTTTGTTGTCATGTTTGTACGTTTGATGTGCAGGCGCGTATCTACTGCAGCAAGAGTATTTGCATTCTCTCGCACTTCCCTCACTTTGCCGCCTTCAAGGCCTTCCTTTCCTCGCTCTACCGCATATCCATATCTGGAGAAACCGACATCCCCTTGGAAAGGTCAGCGGCTGGTTGTTGTTTGAACATTTTGACAGGAAGCGACTCCACTGTGTTCTTGGATAACCGGATGTTGGTATTTGAAGCTGCTGCTTCGCACTGGACATTGCTGCTCGTCTTGTGTGGGCCCTGGGTAATCCCTTACTTTTCCACGAACTACAGTCGACTCCTGATATAACGAACACCATTGTGCAGGAGAATTAGTTCTTTATAGCCGAAGTTTGTTATAACAGAAATGCACTTACACCATACAAGCAGCAAGTCATGACTGGCAAGTGGCCAATGACAGTATGAGTGCACTTGGTTTAAAGTCATGCAGCCCTACAAGATTTGGTTCGTTGTAAATTGTAAACTGTTCGCTACAAAGGGTCAATTTTGTATGGGTTCTAACAGGGACATGGACAATGGTTCGCTGTATCACGAAATTCGCTACATGAGAACTCGTTATGAGTGGAGTCGACTGTAGACTTGTCCTTAGTACCGTTTGGAAAAAGTTTGGAAAAAGTTTGGAATTTTGTGTGCTTGGTTGGCTGCGAACCCTGGTCCTACTGTTGTACTCTTGTGATACGCTCTGCCTCTGCCGTGGCATTGAGCACTCTCAGCACACACTGGCAGTGCATGGGTCTGCTAATATTTTTCTATGAACATAATCCTCTAGTGAAATGCATCCTCTAGTGAAATACGGCGTTTGTACTGGTAGCCCCGAGGTCCGGGTATTTCCCAGGGAAAGGAAACCCAAAGTACATTTGGGATTTTGGGTGTTCACTTTCGGTTTGTCCTGTGACCTGCCGCAGATACATCTCAAACTTCATGTCGGATGTTCCGTTCCCGTCACCGAAACGACCAACAGTGCTCATGCAGGTAAGCCTGGTGTCCCGACGGGCCAACACTGTGCATCGTGCAACTTATCCAGTGTATCCGTTCCTTTTGAAACGACTGATGATGGCACGTGCACCACAGGGGTCGGTTGATTTTCTTCTTGTTGGCGCCAGAAGTGTAGAAACAGACTTTTTTTTGTGGCGGGGGGGGGGGGTGCATGGAGGAATGTGGAGTCTGTGAGCAGTTCTGAGTCACCTGATGTGTCTGCCTATACACTGATGTATCTTTGCTTCCGTGTACATGTGTGTGTTTGTATGTATGTGTGCGTGTGTGTGTGGGTGTACGCGTGCATACATACGTGTTTCACAGCTTGGCAACGAGTCAATCGTTCTGTCACAACCTGTCAAGACACCACTGCCGATGAGGTCAGTCTCTCTCTCTCTCTCTCTCTCTCTCTCTCTCTCTCTCTCTCTCTCTCTCTCTCTCTCTCTCTCTCTCTTTCTCACTCTCTTTCTCACTCTCTTTCTCACTCTCTTTCTCACTCTCTTTCTCACTCTCTCTCTTCCTCACTCTTTCTCGCTTTCTGGGATCTCAGGTCTGACCCTGATACTGTCCCAATTTACACATTGCACCTCTCTGTGTTGTGTGCGTGTATTCTTGCTGCAGTGGAGCAACTCATGCAGTGTTGCTGCATGCTCTGTCCCCCGAAAACCTTATCACACTGTTGTGTCTTACACTACTCGAGCACAAGATCATTCTGCACTCGGTCAAGCCGTCACTGCTCACAGCGTTTGGCGAAGCCCTTTGCTCAGTAAGTCCGTGTTGTGAACGTTCATCTTTCTCCGTCGCTGGTGTTTCCCTTGTTCGTGCAGGAGTGTGGTATGTGTGTGTATGTGTGTCTGTGTACGTGTGTGTGCGCTCCCGCATGCTCGTGCGTGTGAGAGTGTTAATTTGGCCTGGCTTTTTAATTACTTTACTCGGCTGATGCTGTGCACTCTGATGGTATACTCTTGTGCTGCCGTGTGCTGGCTGGCTAGCTGGCTGGCATTGTTGATGCGCTCCTGGGATGTTGTTTGTGTGCCCTGGAGGCTTTAGCGCTGCTCCAGCTTCTACTGTGTTGTTACTGTGTGATGGTGGTATGTCACTGAAGTTCTTGGCCGACTTGGTCTATCCTGTGATGTGTTTCTTGTTGATGCATCACGTTTGCTGATGTAGCCAGTGGGTGGTGTGGGTGTGCGTGCGTGTGTGCTGTGCGTGCTGTGTTGAAATATTTATTCTCACCATAACCCATGGCCGAATTTTAAGCTGCAATGTTGTTGATGCTCTCTTCGTTGTGCTCCTGTGTGTAGATTCTGTTTCCTGTGAGTTGGCAGTGTCCGTACATTCCGCTGTGCCCTCTATCACTGGCTAGTTTTATCCACGCACCCATCCCTTTCATGATCGGTAAGTCATGCGTTGCGTTGCGTAAGACACTATGAATAGGTTTACTGAGTATGTCGCTGTGCTGCCTATGGATATTGTCTGAAGCCTGCGACGTTTTGTTGTCGTTCATGAATCATGGCAGTCTTTTTGTTGCGTGTGTGTGTGTGTGTGGATGTGTGGGGTGTGTTTTGGTGCTTGCAGGAATCGACTCTCGTTTCTTTGACCTGTACGACACACCGGATGATGTATGCTGTATCAACCTGGACAACAACACCATAGCCCAGTATGTAGATCTTAAAGTCATACGATTTCACAGTATATAGACTGAAGTCATACGATTTCACAGTATATAGACTGAAGTCATACGATTTCACAGTATATAGACTGAAGTCATACGATTTCACAGTATATAGACTGAAGTCATACGATTGCACAGTGTATAGACTGAAGTCATACGATTGCACAGTATATAGACTGAAGTCATACGATTTCACAGTATATCGACTGTTTAAAAGTCATACGGTTGTGACGTTGCAGTATGTGCATTGTAAAGTCACACGGTTGTACCGTATATAAGTGAAGTTCGCACGTCCACGTTACAACCGCCCTACAATTGTCTTGAGAAACACAACCAGCTTCGGAAGTCTCGCTCGTGCCAGGTCACCACCACGCCTGTGATACCAGGGTGGCAGATGCAGCGGGGTTCAGAGTCGTAACCTGGACCATTCTTATCTTTATGTAGAACTGTAGCTGAGCCACCACGTACATGCACATGCTAAAATTCTAGCCTATTCGTTAGGCACCGGCGGATTATGCCGGCAGAAAAATTGGCAGAATTCGGTACTTTTTCTGGTAAGTTTCATGCATGTTTGGTATGTGGATAAAGAAATGGAGCAGAATTCGAGGAATTGCCCGTCATCAGGTCTGTATGGTTCTGCCAATTTCGCTGCTTTTGGAGCAGAATTTGCCACCTTTTCGAGCATAATCCGCCGGTCCCTACTATTCGTTCCTCAATGCCCGGCAGTACTGTACCTGAGAGTATAGATTTCAGACATTGTATCCCATTTTAGTGATATCTTCATTGGTTTTATCTTGTCTTTCTTGCTTTTTTTTTTGTAGCTCTCCAACATCGAAAAAGTTGCCTTCCTCTCTTCTGCCAAAGGTATGATCCGTGTATGATTCATGTTATTGTTGTAGATACGGTAAACCTGCCTAACCCAACGGTGTACAAGGCCCTGGAAGTGCTGTTCCTCTGCACAGTTTATCGCCTTCTCGGAATGGTCCGTTTATAAAGTGTTCTTGTAGTCTTTGTAGGTGTCTGTTTGCGTGTCCGCTACGTGTGTGCCTGCCTTTTGTCCATGTGTGTGTGTGTCTGTGTATGTGTGTACATATCTATTTGTGCGTGGGGGGGTCCGGGTACACACTTCAGCTGCTGCTGTTCCTTGACTTCGGCGCTGCTGCTGCTGAGTGCTGGTGTTGCTGGTGTTGCTGATGTTGCTGCTGTTGTTGCTGGTGTTGCTGCTGTTGCTGCTGGTGTTGCTGATGTTGCTGCTGTTGTTGCTGATGTTGCTGCTGTTGTTGCTGCTGTTGCTTTTCTTTCGTTGTGTGTTTCACACAGAAACCAGCAGCGGTTCTGTTGAAAGCACTGAGAGCTCTGCAAGTTCAGATACCTCTTGGTAAGTAGAGTAAGACTAGCCGCCGCCGTCCATTAGCCACGGTACTGCTGTCTCGGCGCCGAAGAACCGACGGTGTCAGAGTTGTAGCCTAGGCCGCTCTTCTCTTTGACGAACACAGCCGTTGCTCTCTCTCTCTCTCTCTCTCTCTCTCTCTCTCTCTCTCTCTCTCTCTCTCTCTCTCTCTCTCTCTCTCTCTCTCTCTCTCTCGTTGAATGATACCTGTGCCGGACATGTCAACAGTGGACTGTATAGTCATGTAGGAAAGTCTTGTAGTGTTCAACAATCTGTTTCAACTTTCAAAAGTACAGACCATCCTTCCACAAAATTGCCTGCCACATGGAATCTGTGATCACTTTGAGTTTTTAAAAATTCGAAATTGGGTATCTGTAATCCGAACCCTGGTGGTCCAGACTTTTGATACTCAATGTTACTGAGTTTGGGCAATGCTACTGCTGATGCTGCTGCTGATGATGCTGCTGATGATGATGATGATGCCGCTGCTGCTGCTGTTGCTGCTATTCTGTATCATGCTGAACTGAATGGTGCGGCTGTGGGTGTCGTTGTCGCGTGTAGGTATTGATCTCGACTCCGACCTTGCGGTGACTGTTGCTCCACTTCGCGTCAATCCCGACCAAGAAGATACGGTAATGCTACTTTAACCTCTGGTGTGTATGTGTGTGTGTGTGTGTGCGTGCGTGTGTATGTGTGTGTGTGCACGCGCTTGTGCGTGTATGTGTGTTTATGTGTCTGTGCCTGTCTGTCTGTGTGTTGCCGCTTTGGGTGAGGGAATTTAGTGTTTCTGGTAGCTTACTGCTCATGCTGATGCTGCTGCTGGTGTGTGTGTGTTTGTGTGTGTGTCTGTGTGTCTTTCTGTCTGTGGGTGTCTGTCTGTCTGTCTGTCTTTGTGTCTGTGTGTGTGAACGCGCGGGTGTGTATCTGCTTGTGTGGAGCAGGCCAGCTCTGACGTGGCGGTGAGAGAGGCGTTTCTACGTTTCCACGCACAAACGCTCTCTGGATACAGGTGAGAGGGCTGCTACGTCTATTGGCCAATCATCTTCGTGCCCGCAAATATCTTTTTCCTGGAGTTCTTTTATTGCCACAAATTCACCATGCGCCTGTGTGTCCGATTCTGACCAAGGAAAGCCAATAGTGAGAGGTTTACCGGGTGTTAGCGGCCGTCGTGAGTTCCCTTCGGGAACGGACACGATAATTTAATTTACTTTTTTTATTTTAAAGCCAATTGTGTGGTGACCCAGAGTAGTCACTGAGGGTGGCTGATCTTGGCTACGCAGCTGGCACGACTCACGACTTCCTTTCTGTGTGAACGTGGCTTATACTAGACGCCGGGCTTATTCCTGTAGAAGCTGATGTCAGGGCCAATCTTCTATTCACATCAGGCTTCTATTCAAACCAGGTATTTCTATGTATGTCAACACTAAAACCAGGCTTATGTGACGATAGGTATTTCTGTGTATGTCAACACTAAAACCAGGCTTATGTGACGATGGTGCATCTTGATAACCAGGCTTGTATTCTGCATAATGACCGGCTTTTATACAAGACGCTAACTACTGCGGGTGATGAAAAATTGGCCAAAAGCCATTGTTTGGATAGCGGAATCGTATGACTGATGCTTGTGGGACTCTGTTTTATGTTATCGTTCACGTTGTGTGCAGTTCTTTCCTGCGTCCATTGGTCAAGGCACCTTCTGAAGTGTCCACCGACGTCTCGCAGCTCTTCGATCTGAAAGGTGTGTTGTGTAGGCATTGTCAACGGCTGTTCAATGCTGGTGCAATCAGGCTGGTTACAAGGCAGTGTGACTTGTATCCTTATTGTTACGTTGCTGTATTGTTCAGTACTACAGTGGTGTTCCGATTACATCATTGTATTCGTACATGTGTATGCTAGGGCTGAAAGGAGTATTCGAATATTCCCAGTTGATGGTCTATGGTTACCATGGATGCACCTACTTGGTCCGTTTCATCGCAATTGTCGCTTATCTATCACAACTAAGAACAGGAGTTTTTTTACCGCTCTGTAAAATTTCCAATACGCATAGTGAAGAAGCATGATACATGATTCCTGTCCGCCACAAGAAAAAAATTCAGCGGTGGAATCTGGTGAAGCAAGTCGAAGAAAGGAAGCAAGGTTACAAAAAATGTACTAAAGAAAACAGCGAAGGAGCGCGTTCTTGCACTCACGCTCTAGTTTATCCGACTCTGGCTCTGTATCACTCGAGCTGATGTCACTTGAGCTGACATTTGCTGGTCTATAGCTGCTGGCGTAGAGTATCTCTTGCTTTCTCCGCTTGGCGTATGGTGGTCACAAGTCGTGGCTGTCACTTTGGCACTTGGAGGTGGGCAGCGTGACCCGTCTGTCACTACAGTACTCTGTGTTAATCAGGCACACATCCCTCTCCGATCCAGACAGCTGTCATACGCTCTGCTGGATACGCTGACCACGACTCTTGTACTGCCACTGCCAGGTCGGACAATGTCTTCTTTGCCACCATCTCCCATCAGTTTGCAGGCTTGCAAAGAATGCCAGGCCGTTGCAGTTCAAACGTGGCGACTGAGCTGGCTGGCCTGGCCGTGACTGTCACGCTCTCCAGGTCAGGATGTCAGGATGTCGATTTCTCCTGCTAAAGTTCCAGTCTTTGAGCTGCGCTTGGCTTTTTGCTGCAGTGAATGCACACATTCACTGCAGACTGCAGTGCAGTGCATTCACTGCAGCGAAAAGTTCCCCACTTTCCCATCAAAATTGTACGAATCGCGATGCCACTGGCGCCAGTCGCGATGATTTTTTCTTTCTGGTCTCCTTTGATCTTTCCATCACAACCTCCCAAACGAATGTGAGTTAGATATCGAGATCGGACTGGGTTTTACCTGTCAAAAGATGTGTGGGAGATAAGCGACAATTGCGATGAAACGGACCAAGTAGGTATCCATGGATATTGTCTGGTTTAGAACATTCGGAATACTGTAAAAGCAGAAATTTTCGGTGGTGTTTTATTTTCGGTCACTTCGGTGCCGACAATTTTTACCGAAAATAAAACACATCGAATATTTCGGTACTACCGGTACTGTATACATTTAGTACTAGTACACTTACCTCGAAAACGGGTTTTACCGAAAATTTCCCTCCACCGAACCGCCGATTTTGGAGAAGACCGAAAATATTACACCACCGAAAATTTCTGCTTTACAGTATTCTTCGTTTCAGGTGTTTTCAGAAAAGAATATTCGTTCGCTTCATTGAGCATTCGTTTCAGCCCTACAGTGAGTGTACGCCCAGCCGTATTTGTGCACTTCCACGACGTCAAGGGCGTGCACGTTGAGGGCGCTAAATGTGTACTCTGGGTTTGATTTCGCCGGGCGCGACTGTACACTTTCCGGTACCCATAACAAACAGAATGAAACGTCCAACTGGTGAGTAGCTATCCGCTAATGCTCCCGTCTCTGTGTCTATGCTTGTGACTTGTTTGCTGTGCAGGTTTCCAGCGAAGTCATCCCCAACAGGAACACGACTTCTTCAGCAAATTCTTCGACACGCAGATGTTCAACAAGTTCATAGAGGAGCGCTCGTTCGTCAGTGACATTGACAACGCCCTGGTGTTCTTCGACGAATGCACGGAAATCGTACGTGCCGCTCTGTAGCTCTCGGCCTGTTGTTGCCACATGCAGTGGGGCTAGATGAAATCCAGCCCCGATCGGCTTATTACTACGTACACAACAGGGATGGTAGATGAAATCCAGCCCCCGATCGGCCTGTTGCCACATGCAGTGGGGCTAGATGAAATCCAGTCCCCGATCGGCCTGTTGCCACATGCAGTGGGGCTAGATGAAATCCAGTCCCCGATCGGCCTGTTGCCACATGCAGTGGGGCTAGATGAAATCCAGTCCCCGATCGGCCTGTTGCCACACAGTGGGGCTAGATGAAATCCAGTCCCCGATCGGCCTGTTGCCACATGCAGTGGGGCTAGATGAAATCCAGTCCCCGATCCGATTATTACTATGTACACTATAGGGACGGTAGATGAAATCCAGCCCCTTATCGGCCTGTTGCTATGCACAGGGATGGTAGATAAAATCCAGCCCCTGATCGGCCTATTACTAGAGAGGTTCTGCACAACGAAAATTCGAACGAAGTTTCGCGCCCGGCCTTGCGAAAATGTGTACGAATTTTCGCACGAACTTTGTGTTCTGCACATTTTCGTAGTTTGCACGCGCCAAGTGCACGTACGACATGACCCAATCTCACGAAACTTCCTACGAAAGTTCATTTCGCGTTCCCTGCAAGTTTCGCGTCCAAAATTGCGAAAGTTCGTGCGAAGTTTCTCACTTCGTGACGTGGAGCGAAAGTTCGTACACATTTTCGTTTTGCAGAACCTCTCTACTAGGTTCAGGGATGGTAGTTGAAATCGAACCCCTGATCCAGTTGCTATGCACAGGGATGGTAGATGAAATAATGATATGTACGAGTATGTGCTCCACATCTTGACTGTATTCGTTGTTTTCTGTTTTCTGCTATGTATGTATCTTCCTGTTGCTCAGGCGGAACGACCGGAGCCACTGATTACAGTGAGAACTGAGGGTGAAAGGTAGGAACATGCTGCATGTGTCGTAGTCCGGCGGCCCGGAGTTAGGCCCCGGAGCCGCGGAACCAACATGACTAATCTACGATTATCCCATTACAGGCCGTGCAGTGGTGGCCGTAACTACAATTACATTATTAGGCATTCCGACACCACATATACTCGCGAATCAGACATATTTAGACATGTTCGGGTTACACCACACCTGGTCACACACTCACTCGCCATGCCCTCACATGTACAGCACCCGCATTCACATACATACACACATACACACACACACACACACACACACACACACACACACACACACACACACACACACACACACACACACACACGCCTATACTTTCACATCGAGACTCACATCTTACGGTCAGACATAATATCAAACGATACTTATCAAACGAGAAGGAAGAAAGTCGTGACTTGCCGTAAAGACGAAGTTGCGAGAGAGAGAGAGAGAGAGAGAGAGAGAGAGAGAGAGAGAGAGAGAGAGAGAGAGAGAGAGAGAGAGAGAGAGAGAGAGAGAGAGAGAGAGAGAGAGAGAGAGAGAGAGAAGGAAGGTGATGGCAATAGTATCTAGTTGCGGCCATGGAAGTCCATGGCCACGAGATTGCTGGTCCCGCATGCAATAGCGTATCAAACCGTAGTAAATATGTGTACGAACTGTTGCATAAAGAGCGGGAGCCATGTGGGGAAATAACAGCGTATACCAAATAAGGAAGGCCCCAGGCCTTGTGTGAAGATATAAAACGAGAGAGCTTGGAAGCTCAGGGCCCTACGCTATGCTTTTTTGCCTTGATGACCTAGACAAAAAAAAGCATAGGGATGTTATAAATTCTTTAAAAATTCCTTTTTTTTAAGACATAACCTGGGATTCGAACCCGCACTATCGCGCGCCCTGCATGCATCCCCCGATACACTTCGCATACATACTAATTCTTCCAAGTTGTTTCACATTGTGATCTTGCATTTGAAAGCCCTATTTGAATATGCATTGTGGCCAGCCGTCTTTGATGGCACTGTACGGTAGGGGATAGGTACGGGACAGGTACGATCGAGGGTAATACGACACCGTCTCCCATACCGTACCATCAAACACAGCTGGCCACATACAGCTGCCCGCAATTCAAATAGGGCTTTCAAACGCAAGATAATAACGTAAAGCAACTTGGAAGAATGGGTATGAATGCGAAGTGTATGGGGGAATGCATGTAGGGCGATAGTGCGGGTTCGAATCCCAGGATATGCCTGAAAAAAGGAGAATTGAAAAATGTATAACATCCTATGCTTTTTTGCCTTCAGATACGGATAGCGCCAGGCGTGACACAAACAAACAAACACACAAATACCACCCTGGCTAGCGCTAGACGTTACTGACGTAACGTCTTCTGCATAGCTACGGGAATTAAGACGATTATGAACCCGTTTACGGGAGATAGATAAATAATTAGACACCTAAATAAGGCATACTTGTCCCGTAGAGGCCTAAAAGGCACGTGTCAATAGTATGGATACGACCAAGAGTACATAAACCAGAGTGTGCAACTCGGGATGGTTCCTGTGGGAGCGTAATTTGGCACTACGTCATTTCTGACGGCATGGTAAGCCACAGGTACGGTGAAAAGTTGCGTAACCAGTCGCGGTGGTGCAGTTCACTGAGTTTGTCCTGATTTCGGTTTTTTGATACGGATAGCCTGGTGACTTTACTTGTCGGTGGATGTACGCAGCGTACACAGTCACACAAAACACCGAAATCCTGAAACAGGACGTCTAAATTCAAGCAAACTTGGCTGATTTCCGGGCTATGAAACATGAAAATTTGAGCTGTATGCAAGTCGCGGCTTGGCTGACCTCATCAGGGTGACGTAGTGCACGAACTGCGCTGTTTCAGATCTGATATGCACAGTTGCACACTCTGGTTTATGTACTCTTGATACGACATATCCCCCCGCTTACACGGAAAAGAACACGTCCTCGTGTTATAAGTAACGTAATAAATTAGTCTAAGATTATGGCTAACAATTTTAACTAAACGAGTGCAGGCCAAAATTGGAGTTCCGATCCAAAACTGTTCAAATACTAGCTGTAATATGGGCCACAACCAATCTAGACAATACCACTGAAATCCTTACTCATGCCAGACGGGACTCCCAAACAGCTGGGGTGGATGGCGGGAACGCGGGGTTCGCCTTTCCATCACGCCAACTGGCGGAGCACTGTCAAATACCCGAGCGGTGTCCTCCTCGTCTCGGGCGGCGGCATCAGTGGCATCAGGCTGGTAGGACGGAGTCAGGGTGGATGCCATGGGCTGCGGTGGGTCCGACTCATCTTGCTCGTGGACCTCCTGCAGCCGACTCGGTCGATGATGGCAACTTTTCAGCCGGTTGACGTGCACTATCAGCCGACGTGCCGTGGGCTCAGACAGCTTGATGCGGTAGGTGACGGCTGAGAGCTTCTCCTCAACTAGGTACGGTCCATGCCACAGTCTAGAAAACTTGGCGGTTGTACCCGTCGGAATAGCCGGCACCAGAAGCCACACTGCGTCACCTGCTGCGAACGTCACGGCCTTAGCGTGGCGATCACGGATATGCGCTTGATAGCGGTGCACGTTGCCCAGGTGTTCCCGGACCTGCGCATGAGCGTCCTCCAGGCGTCGGCGGAGAGCACTCACAAATTCCGGCTGGGACGCTACTGCGGATGCTGCTCCTGGCGGTAATCCAAATGCCAAGTCTTGAGGTAGGCATAACTCCCGACCAAAGAGCAGATAGCTTGGACTGTAGCCGGTACTAGTCTGCGGCGTCGAGCGGTATCCCATCAAGAAGGCTGGCAACTTGATGTCCCAATCTCGATGATTCCGGCAGACATAGTGCGCCAGGCCACGCTCAAGCGTCTGGTTGAATCTTTCAACCAGACCGTCACTCTGTGGATGGTACGCAGTTGTCCTGGTCTTATCTATGCCAAGCAGAAAGCAAACACTGCGAAACAGAGAGCCATCAAAGTTTTTGCCCTGATCGGTATGCAACCGATCAGAAGCACCAAAACGTGACACAAACTCATTGACAAACACCAAAGCAATAGTGGACGCATCCATTCTCAGAAGCGGAAAAGCTTCCACCCATTTAAAGAAATAGCCAAAAGGAAGAACAAATCACCAAATAGGAAAACGACAACAACCATCCACGCAGGCATGAGTACTCACCGACCTGGCTGAGGTTCGTGACGGTCAGTCCTGATCTTCGAAGCCCAGCCAGATTCCCTCGGTCCGACGGAAGTACTCGTCTAAGGACATGTCCGTCGTTGACCAGTCCTGAAGATCCTCCAACCCAGAGTCGACGGACCGAGGGGTGACCACCATTTCGTTGTTTTGTTGCTGTCGTTTCTGCTGTTTCTTTTTTTCGCGGAGTTTGAACACACGCTCCCAGTTACGCCGTTGGCGGGATGGCGAGGCATGTTTCTTCTGCTTGGTTCGGGCGGCGGTGTCCCGAACCGCCCGAGACCGTGGCGACTTGTTGGCGTTCCGCCGTTTCTTGAAATTCTGGTCCGACGGAAGTACTCGTCTAAGGACATGTCCGTCGTTGACCAGTCCTGAAGATCCTCCAACCCAGAGTCGACGGCCGAGGTGTCGACGGGCCGAGGGGTGACCACCATTTCGTTGTTTTGTTGCTGTCGTTTCTGCTGTTTCTTTTTTTCGCGGAGTTTGAACACACGCTCCCAGTTCCGCCGTTGGCGGGATGGCGAGGCATGTTTCTTCTGCTTGGTTCGGGCGGCGGTGTCCCGAACCGCCCGAGACCGTGGCGACTTGTTGGCGTTCCGCCGTTTCTTGAAATTCTGGTCCGACGGAAGTACTCGTCTAAGGACATGTCCGTCGTTGACCAGTCCTGAAGATCCTCCAACCCAGAGTCGACGGCCGAGGTGTCGACGGACCGAGGGGTGACCACCATTTCGTTGTTTTGTTGCTGTCGTTTCTGCTGTTTCTTTTTTTCGCGGAGTTTGAACACACGCTCCCAGTTCCGCCGTTGGCGGGATGGCGAGGCATGTTTCTTCTGCTTGGTTCGGGCGGCGGTGTCCCGAACCGCCCGAGGCCGTGGCGACTTGTTGGCGTTCCGCCGTTTCTTGAAATTCTGGTCCGACGGAAGTACTCGTCTAAGGACATGTCCGTCGTTGACCAGTCCTGAAGATCCTCCAACCCAGAGTCGACGGCCGAGGTGTCGACGGACCGAGGGGTGACCACCATTTCGTTGTTTTGTTGCTGTCGTTTCTGCTGTTCCTTTTTTTCGCGGAGTTTGAACACACGCTCCCAGTTACGCCGTTGGCGGGATGGCGAGGCATGCTTCTTCTGCTTGGTTCGGGCGGCGGTGTCCCGAACCGCCCGAGACCGTGGCGACTTGTTGGCGTTCTGCCATTTCTTGAAATTCTGGTCCGACGGAAGTACTCGTCTAAGGACATGTCCGTCGTTGACCAGTCCTGAAGATCCTCCAACCCAGAGTCGACGGCCGAGGTGTCGACGGACCGAGGGGTGACCACCATTTCGTTGTTTTGTTGCTGTCGTTTCTGCTGTTTCTTTTTTTCGCGGAGTTTGAACACGCTCCCAGTTACGCCGTTGGCGGGATGGCGAGGCATGCTTCTTCTGCTTGGTTCGGGCGGCGGTGTCCCGAACCGCCCGAGACCGTGGCGACTTGTTGGCGTTCCGCCGTTTCTTGAAATTCTGGAATTTTTTTAGTGCCCGTCGGCCATCACCGTCGCGATGCGGAGCGGCGGCGTTCCGTGCCGCCCGTAGTTGCACCGTCAGGGTGTGACGGGCCCCTACAGTACTGAGGACAACACACACACAGCACACAATAGTATCGCATCCTGTTCACTGCGCCAAATGTTGTAGTCCGGCGGCCCGGAGTTAGGCCCCGGAGCCGCGGAACCAACATGACTAATCTACGACTATCCCATTACAGGCCGTGCAGTGGTGGCCGTAACTACAATTACATTATTAGGCATTCCGACACCACATATACTCGCGAATCAGACATATTTAGACATGTTCGGGTCACACCACACCTGGTCACACACTCACTCGCCATGCCCTCACATGTACAGCACCCGCATTCACATACATACACACATACACACACACACACACACACACACACACACACACACACACACACACACACACACACGCCTATACTTTCACATCGAGACTCACATCTTACGGTCAGACATAATATCAAACGATACTTATCGAACGAGAAGGAAGAAAGTCGTGACTTGCCGTAAAGACGAAGTTGCGAGAGATAGAGAGAGAGAGAAGGAAGGTGATGGCAATAGTATCTAGTTGCGGCCATGGAAGTCCATGGCCACGAGATTGCTGGTCCCGCATGCAATAGCGTATCAAACCGTAGTAAATATGTGTACGAACTGTTGCATAAAGAGCGGGAGCCATGTGGGAAATAACAGTGTATACCAAATAAGGAAGGCCCCAGGCCTTGTGTGAAGACATAAAATAAAGACGATTATGAACCCGTTCACGGGAGATAGATAAATAATTAGACACCTAAATAAGGCATACTTGTCCCGTAGAGGCCTAAAAGGCACGTGTCAATAGTATGGATACGACACATGCATATGCACACATCCTGATACATGTAGTCCGTAGCAGTTCATTTCCCAATTCCGTATTCGTAGCAGTGGTTTTCGTCCAAATCTCTGGGGCAGGAAGCGCAGCACTGTAGGGGATTTGTGTTGATTTTTAACTAGCACCTCGTGAGTCAATGGTGATAGCCCGTCATGTAACAGTGTGTGTCTCATCTGCCGTGAAATGTACATCCATATGACGATTGTGTGATGTATTGTGCACAGCTCACCGTGGGAAAGGCTACATTCAATGTTGGTCTGGTTTACTAGGTGTGCACTAGTTTGAGCATGTTCTTACAGCATGTTGATCTTTCACGCACATTTGCTAAAATCTGTCTGGTGTGTGTCTGTCTGTCTGCATGTATGTGTGTGTCTATCTGTGGACATGTGTGTGTATGCACGTGTGTGTGTGTGTGTATGCGTGTGTGTGTATGTGTGTGTGTGTGTGTGTGGTGTGTGTGTGTGTATATGCGTGCGTGTGTGTGTGTATATGCCTGTGTGTGTGTGTGTGTACGTGTGTGTGTGTGTGTACGTGTGTGTGTGTGTGTACGTGTGTGTGTGTTCCTCTCTACCTGCCTGTGTCTTGTGTTTCTGCCGCTTGCAGCCATATGACCGTTGTCGTCTCGCCGCCGGATATGGGCAACTTACCAAGAAAGACGTTTGCGTAAGGATGCTGATCCTGTAATTTAGTAAATTTACCTTTCCTTGCGGTGTCGTCTCTCCCATGTAATGTTGTTGGTGGACAAAGCAAGCCATCATCCGGGATGATCCATAATTTTCACGAAACGAAAAAGTTTAGTTAGGACCCCCCCCCCCCCCCTGAATAAAAAATAATTGACTTGACCGCTAGAATGCATTGATGTCTCACATATCAATATTTTTAAAAACGAAATTCTCCTTTACCCACCCACCCATGAACGAAACTTTTTGTATTTTCATGTAAAAGTTCGATAATAATGGACGACCCCTTATCATCTTCAGTTCTCTTGTTGTCAGCATCACTATTGATGTGTGTTGCATGTTTGTGGAATTGAGCGCACCTCCACCACTTGCTCGCATCATGTTTTCAATGTGGGCGTTTGCGTCGTCTTTGTTGTATTGTATATTGCTGTTGTGAGTTGTAGCTATAACTCGTGCTGTCACCATTGCTGTTCTTGTCCTTATGTTGCTTTGCACTGCTCTTGTGTGTGGTGTGTGGTGTGTGTGTCTGTGTGTGTGTTTGTGTGTGTTTGTGTGTCTGCGTGTTTGCGCCCGCGCGTGTGTGTATGTGGGTGGTGTGTCTGTGTGTGTCTGTGTGTGTGGGTGTGGGTGCACAGTTACCCTTCGTTCTCCCTGGACACAACACTGTTTGGAGAGAGGGATACGGTTCAACCCACGCCGGAAGTGCCCAAATCAGCCGCCCTGGCACTGGTCACGTGTCGGCGATCGCGACAGGAGAAATCCAAAAGCAGCAGGGTGAGTCTAATGTGTTCTGTGTGTGGATGGGGGGGGGGGGGGGGGTAATTTATATGGATGGGGTTTTTAGTTCATCGCGGTTTTGGGGAATATTTTTTGACTATTGAAGCTACTTAGTACTTGTTTGTAGCACATCACGGTCAGAGTAGACCATGAGCGAGTCGTCACTTTGTGCCAGCATATTCTTTCCTATCGGCGTGGATACTTCCTTCAAGCGTGATGGAACAATTTGTGAAAGAACAAGTCTTTCGCAGCAGCAAGCGCTTCATGTCTTCCGTGCACCAGTTTCTCTTTCTTGTCTTCTGATATGACCATTAGGCCCCCATCAGACTATGTACATAGAAAGTTTACTACAAAACCCAATAAAACCTAAAAGGCCACTTTTTCCCCAAACTGCATTCAGACTCCACCATAAACGATGCATACAGAGTTCCCGCTGTGTGGTGGCAAATGCGGCGACTAGTGTCTCTCCAACATCTGCCATGCTTGCAGCATGTTGGAGTCGGCGTCTTTCCGGTCTACTAGCAGCACCGGCAGTTGCAGCATTGGGTGCGGGGGCAGTTGCAACGTTGGGCGTGGCGGCAGTTGCAGCATTGGGCGCAGGTTCTTGGCCAGGCATGGCATCAGTGGCTGCTTCAGGCTGGTCAAATAAATCGATGTATCCATCATCACCACCCACGTCAGCATCAAGTTCGGTACTGGCGGCCCTCCGCTTTTCAGGAGCATGCACCCTCCCGGGGGTATAAGGCATTGGGTTTTCTTGTGGCAGCGGCGAGTTGCCAGACGACCCGAACAATAACATGTCCAAATTCCGCCTGTCTTCATCGTCACTATCACTGTCAGTAGTTGCACGATGATGGACTGGCCCACTTCGCGACGTTGCACATACAGCAGCAGATGACGATGCAACACCCGTTGGTGTGCTTGGGAAGGTCAAATGTTGATTTGCAGCCACCGCTTGTGGTGGAGCTGCGGCTTGGGACTGGCTTCCCAAATGCACTATGGTGGCACTGCAAATGCTCTGCAGTGGCCCAAAGCCGGGGACATCTTTAAATATGCCGTGCCAAGTGCGGAAATTTGTCCAGGTGGCGTATGCGGCGGTCAAGTCGTATGCTGCATCGTCCCCAGCATCACCTGCACACACACACAGACATATGAACAAAAGCAGAGACAAGTCACGTACATATACGGCCAATCCTCAGCACAAGTACACGCGATAGTGAAGACACTTCCTTGATCTTTCAAATGTTTTCTTTCCCTTCTTTTCTGGAAAGTGCAGGGAATGTTGGAAATTTCGAAAGTGACACAACACTATACATGTGGAAAATATTTTAAAATTGTTTTAATTGCTCCGGCCTGGTTTAAATCTGGCTTTGGAAAATTAATTTTTCATTGCTATCAGGTTCGGCCTCATTTCCTCTGTACTGCGCTGATGAGTCCACAAAGGACGAAATAGTTCTGTCCGCAGATTGAGTTGTTTTATATGAAATTGTTCTACTCGACATCATCCTCAATCGTCCTCATGCTCACATAAAAAAAAATTGAAGATTATCATACTGTCGTTGCTACTTTTCATCGACAAGAAAACATTTCTAATAATTATTAGGGACGTTTAGCAATGCGAAAATTCGAACTTTTGGTGGTGGCGATATTTCGCGAAAATCTATTTCGAAAAAGAAAACTTGTGAGGTTTAGCAATGCGAAACGACTTTTTCTCGAAGCTATTTGAATTTTATAGTACCGTACCGTATATGCAGCTCAGTCTCAAGCAGGGGGCTGTAAAATTACTACTCCCTGTAGCGAAATGCGTACTGAGAAAAGAGAAAGTTACTTTCGCAAATCACTGCAACTTCGCGTCCAAGTTTTCGAAGTTTCGACCTTTGTTTCTGTACTCATTCCCAGACTCGAATTTTCTTTCGAACTTTCGCGTTGCTAAACGTCCTTAATAATAATACACAGAGGCAATATGCTTTGGTTCTGCAAGAGTGCTCAATGCCTGATTCAGGCAGAGCGGCGTACACAAAGGCACACAATGAAAACCTTGGCAAATTAATTCCGTTGTGACTCAGAGTGATTGGTTCAGCCATGAAACTCTGAGTCACAACGGAATTAATTTGCCAAGGTTTTCATTGTGTGCCTTTGTGTAATAATAATAATAATAATAAAGCTTCCTGGCTACGAAAATGTTATTCAAGATATTGCATGCTGCCATGGAAGGAGCCACATTCGGATGACTGCATCCATAACAAGTCTACCGAAAGTGCTCAGGGTCAAACGTGAGTACAAGTGAGCCAGAAACAGATACAGTTGTAGACAAATGGGGAACACAGTGTGAAAGTTGTCCCAAAGTGGAGGAAGTTGTTGCCCGATAAGTACATAGTGCGATGCCAAAAGAGGCACACACGACACAAACCAAGCCATACCTGCAGGACTTCCAGTTGCCGTCATCTTCCTGAACTTTTTGTAGTGTTCCTTCGCTGTCGCCTTCAGGTTGTCTATCTTGCGATGGACCACAGAAGCGGTGAACTCAACGTCGGTGTTGTCCAGCTGACGAGCAAATCGAGTGAGAGCCTAACCGATCTCCTTCTCCTTGACGCTCCTCCGAACCATCGTCCCACTCTTGTTTTTACATATTCCCCCCAGAGCTGAATCAGCTTCGCCTCAATTTCTTCGGTGAAAACTTGTCGTGGCATGATGAAACTGGGGAAATCAATTTGAAGAGAAGAAAGTCACAACCTTGTTGTCGCAGTATGAAACTGAGGAAATAATTCAAAGAAGAAACTCACCTACACGATCACCGGACTCCTGACTGGCTGTCGATGGGGTCGGTATAGGCGATGACTCGTCCGAAAAGGGAAAAACTTGCAAACACACGTAGAGGACCTGCAACTAGGGGTCAAACGGGTGTACCTTTAACTAACGAACGGGTAATTTTCTTAACGGGCGGGTTAACGGGTACCCTTTAGCAGCCATATTATTTTTTTGCGCATTTTTCACATAAATCATGATTTTAATTTGTATATTCTCAGCTTGTATATTGATACTACATTATGATTCGCAATTGATTCGTGTATCATAATATTATTATGGCAATGAAGGTTCCAAATGAATGTCATCCGTGCATTTGCCCATGTACATAACTTCACAGGCAATAACTTACAATCGTGCATGTAGATGGTCCTACAAGCTACATGTACATGTATTTTGATACATGTATTTTGATACATGTACGCAAATCAACTGCAGATCGATGTGATTCAAGCCATGCAAGGACAGAGTGGTTTAGCAAAACTTTCGTGATCTCGCGCAATCCTATTTGCTATGTTCGCAGAGAACTGGTACTCGTTGCATTCAGAAGATGTTCGCACCCATAGCTAGCTGGGGTGCCTGACACAGCTGATGTGTTGCTGGCCAGCTAGCTGCTAGTGCTAGCTTGTTGAACTCGTGAAATGAATCTTCACAAATCCGTAATCTTGTATGCAATATTTCGAACTACTTTTCAGCTCGTCGATTGAAGGAACAAACTACAACCATGAGTATCATACTCCGACTGGTCACTCAGCCTGGTGACACTAGTTCATCAAGTACTGTGGCAGGTTCGATGTCGGAGAACCATCGTAACTTTCTAGTTAACTCAGCTGCCACCTCGAACGAGTTTCAAGTCTTGCATTTTCTCACATCACAATGAAAAATCTCCAGTACGAGGATTTTTACTTGCACTAGAGTGGAGAGAACAACTGTCAAGTCTGTTTTTCAGCCTGCTCCTGCCTGATAAAGTCGAAAACGGGAATGCACAGGAAAAAGGAAAAGAGTATCCGCACTCCTATTTTGAGTCTTGGAATACGATAGGATCACTTTTTTTTTTTTTTTTTTTTTTTTTTACAAACGGGTACCCTTTTACTAACGGTACCTGAGATTAACGGGCGGGTAACCGGGTACCCGGTACACCCGTTTGACCCCTACCTCAACTGACAATGACGAGTGGGAAATGCAACCAAACACTTCTTGTCGAAAGTGAAGGGAACGATTCAAATGATGCTTGAAAGTTGTCTTGTTGTAGGGTGGGTGTCATTCATGGAGCTGTGACAGTACGATAAATGCAGGAAAGTTGCCTTGTACAAGGGTCGGCACTCTGCCGGAAAGGACCGGGCAGCTTTTCAGGCCGACCACGAGATTCTAGTAGTTGCCTTGGAGACTTATAAATGTGACTTATAGGCTGTTTTGTACCTAGTCTGAAGAGGCCCTTAGGTGTGCGTGCATCTCTTTTGAGAGTTATCTTCCTTGTGATCTTTTTTGTCTTCTGTCTCGTGTATAGACTGCACATCGTTACATTGTGGACCCACGCCGGTGGTCCAAGTAAGTTTCATTGTGCAGGGATAGCTTGGTGTGGAATGCTATGGGAAAAGGGACTTTTGTAGTGAGTGGTTTTGTCCGGATTTCCATGCTGCGTGGGCCAGTCATATGGTCACATTGTAAATGAATCCTGCTTTGTGTGTATTGGCTTGTGTGTGTGTGTGTGTGTGTGTGTGTGTGTGTGTGTGTGTGTGTGTGTGTGTGTGTGTGTGTGTGTGTGTCTCTCTCTCTCTCTCTCCTAGATATCTTCTAGCGCATACGTATGCTGTTTGGTATGCGTACTTACCAGCGTACGTGCATTCTCACACGTTCAAACGAGAGGCCGTGCAGACGGCGTTCAAGGTGAGAAAATAGCCTGAATTGCTTACATAGTGTGTGGGAAGGGGGGGGGGGGGGTAGCAGGTAGTGCCAATTAGAGGAATATCTTCACAAGGCTGTTTGTTTGACCCTTTTTTCACCTGACCATTTCTAAATCGACAGTATTCAATCGATGGAGCTGCATGCACTAAAATGTTCGTGAACCTGTCAAATTTTGATGGAGTTTCACGGTCCAGGCATGAGCTTTGATGAGGTACTATACATGTGGTCAACTACCTGTCGCTCTCTGTGATTGGTTCTGTCTTGTGTGTCTGTGTATCTGTGTGTGTCTGTGTGTGTCTGTGTGCCTGTCTGTGTGTGTGTGTGTGTCTGTGTATGTGTGTGTATCTGTGTGTCTGTGCATATGTGATAACCATGTGCAGTTACTGGAAGCAATGCACAACAGTGGTATCCATGCGCCGGACGAGGTACAGTGCATTCTTCTGTTCTTGTTTTGGCAGGCCGGTTGCTCACATACCGGTACTGCAGCATGTATTTTGAACTGTTCACTCTTCTTTGCCATCACACACATCGCAAGAGAAGCCTGTTTAGCTTGAAGGCGACGTTCACCTCAAAATGAAGACTTCACAACTTGTAGCGAAAATGCACTCACTCCAATGATAAAAGTACTAGATTGATGAGAGAAGCTGTTCCGGAGCTACTTGAAAAGTTCACTAAATGCAGCAGATAGATGATTGAGAGCTGTTCAGCAACTTGTGAAAGAAGCTAGCTGTGCTTAGTGAAATCCGACCTAACGTACGAAACTGACGTACCGTAAAGTCTTGTATAAAAGCCGCGGCTTCTATGACTTTCTTGGTGAAATTGTGCAGGCTTCTATACAAGACAGGTATTTCCATGTATGTCAACACTAAAACCAGGCTTGTGTGTGATTTGATGGGCCCAAAATTGCGGCTTCTATTCGAGGGCGGCTTTTATACAAGACTTTACCTGCTCCCATTACATACTGTATTTGTACATGTGTGTCTTCAGCCGCATGCCTGCCACTTCTTGGGTGCCAAGGGCCGAGCAAATCCGGCTCGCCAAGTATTCACTTTGGGTTGGATTTCGCCTTGCCCAACCGTTTTGACAGCCCCTAGGTATTAACTCATTTTCACATCCCAGTCAGCTTAGAATCAACGGTTGCTGGCTAGTTGCCGGACACACTTGAAAGAAGCTTGGTTCACTTACTCTCTCTCTCTCTCTCTCTCTCTCTCTCTCTCTCTCTCTCTCTCTCTCTCTCTCTCTCTCTCTCTCTCTCTCTCTTCCTCCCTCTCTCCCTCTCTCTCTCTCTCTCTCTCTCTCTCTCTCTCCCTCTCTCTTTCTGGCTTTGTTTGACAGGTTTCATATCGAATTCTGATGGAAGTGTGTGGTGCACATGGCTATCCAGCTCTTGCCGTTCGAGTAAGTGAACATTTCACCAGCCAATTACTTTCAGCTGCAAACGTTACGCACCCTAGACCTTCCTTGTTTTCTCTGGCTCTCTAGCACCCAGCAGCCTCAAGGCAATGACCAAAGGCGATGATATTTGTAGAATGGGAAAAGTCTCTTGAAAATCTCAGAAAAGCTTAATGGAGAGTTGCACAGTTTTGATTCAAATGTAAACGCTTGACTGACTTGAGCTGCAAAAGTCGTTTCTCACCTGGGTTTTTTGGGACTCACGTTAGGGGCCATCCGGCATTTTCGATAATTTTCACGGAACGAAAAAGTTTAGTTATGACCCTCCCCCACCCACCCACCCATAAAGGAAACTTTTTTTCTCTTTGTGAAAAAGATCGATGATTACGGACGGCCCCTTAGCCAAGTGTTTCGATTTGAATCAACTTCTCTTGAATGACAACAAACACGATAATACGTGGACTGGCATCATCTATAGTTGCTAATTCGGATACTTCCAAGTGTGTGGGTGTGTGTGTGTGTGTGTGTGTTTTTGTACCAAAATTTGAAATGGAAACCTCTTGCACTAGTAATTATCTGTGCTTTGTCTTATTTTTAGGTTCTGATGGAAATGAGACGGATGAACTTATCGCCAAATGCTGTTACGTACGCCCGCTACAACAAGGTAAGACATCAACATGCTCGGTAGCTGCATGACGTGTGTGTCTGTGTGTGTGTACGGGTATGTGTACGGGTATGTGTTTGTGTGTCTGTGTAGGTGTGTGGGTGTGTGCAAGGGAAAATTAGTGGTGGTCAGTTCATCAGCCTTGCAAGCCATTGAATGGTGTAATCCCAGCACAAGTTGCCATATCTAACATAGTTGTTCGCTATCATCGCTTCCGCGATGGGCATGTCTGAGTCTGAGTGCGAGTGAGTCGTAGCACCCTGGAAGAAGACACAGACCATAGTGCCTGTAATGATGTGAGTTTGGATCCTGCATATGGAAGCTGTATGTTGTCCGTGCTCTATGCATGGTCTATAGAACACTGAGTTAGCGATCACAGCCATGACCTGCTGATCCCAAGCTGCCCCTGCCTCAAGGGCGACGGAAACGGGCAATGCAGGAGGCAAACCCGCATCATGGCACGCTCCACTCGCCCACGTTTTCTCCCTAGATCGTGCCTTTCTATCGTATACTTGTTCTTTCTCTTTTCTCTTTCTAACTCTCTTTCTCTCTCTCTCTCTCCCTTCCTTTCTCCCTTTCCATGATCTAGGTTGCTCTGGAAAGCAAGTGGCCGTCGACTAGCGGCTATTGGAGAACAATACGGAATGCGATCAATGCCATTGCCCAGCTCAATATCAGGCTGAGGGAGCGCCGTGCCATTTTGGCATCCTCTTCGGCCCTGGCTCTTGCGGACAAGGGACGCATTGCCACTATTCGCAAGGTAAGACTATTCTGTGTGTGTGTGTGTCTATGTCTGTGTGCGTGTGTCTGTGTGTGTCTGTGTGTGTGTATGCGTGTGTCTGTGTGTGTGTATGCGTGTGTCTGTGTGTGTGTGTGTGTGTGTGTGTGTGTGTGTGTGTGTGTGTGTGTGTGTGTGTGTGTGTGTGCACGCGTGCATGTGTATGTGTGTCCCAGAAAGTGTAGGGTGTGCATAGGTTACTGTCTTGGCCGTCCTATTCCGATGTGCTCAGTGGGATGTAGACCGAGCGTGCATTGGGAGTCGATTCACATGGCTTCACCAGTTGTGTGGATTGGGCAATTATCTGGCGCACGTCTTGATCTGTTTCATTCAGATATTGTGCTATCGTTGCTATAAGGGGTCGTCGCAAAAGTTTTCTGTCGTCCCTGAAACGAACATCGTTCATTTCATACTCGGACCCCCTCCCCTCCCTCTGAAACGAACACAGCTTGCTATGCTGGACAACAAACATCGCATGCATGTACATGTCATATGTACAGTGTCGGTCGACTTGCGACTTTGGCTCGCACACCCCCCCCCCCCCCCCCCCCAACGAATCATGTTCGTTTCAGGGACGACAAAAAACTTTTGTGACGACCCCTAAGAGAAAATCTGTGGGTGTACTTGTACGTCCAATGCAGTTGCGGTCTTGTGTGCTTCTTTTACAACGGGCATACATGGTACATGGTGTGTGGGTGTGTCTGTCTGTCTGTTTGTCTGTCTGTCTATTTGTCCAGTCTATGAGGGTGCGCGGCACAACCAAGCCCCGAAACCCGGAAACGGCCAGCGTGCAGAGCTTCACCAGCGCCGAGGACGGTGGTGTCGGCGAGGGCGGTGGTGATGCTGACTCACTCTGCAGCATGTCTTCCTACCAGCAGCAGGCAATGGGCTCCGTCGACCAGTTCCCGCGCAACTCAGAGTCGTCCACTGATGACCGCTCAATCGTATCACGCGACGAAATGCCCACGATAGTGTATTCGTCCGCCTCCGCCGGTATCACAGCCCACCATTGGTCCACGGACAATCTCGCCACGGCAACCACCACCGTTGCAAAGGCGTCGCCGAAGAGAGGGCACCGACGAGTGGCCAGTGCTACTATACGCACCAACGGGGATCTCGCCACCTGTGAGTATCTGTTATAGAAGTTAGCCGTAGTGCATTGCTGCTTAATGAAATCCGATCAAGCGAGTCGAAAGCCATGCCGGGCAGTTATGTGCAGCTCTAGACCTACAATCACCAGGTTGTGTGCTGGCACAGGGGTATCTTTCGGTAGTAGCAAGAGTACGTAACCCCCCACCCAAGAGTGTGCAACTCGACTACGGGTGCTGTCCCGACAGAATTTCAAGTTGACGTCATGTTTTTATGATGCAATGCACGCTCTGTATGCGGATTATCAGACGAATCCGGAACCTGTGGTGGGCCAAAGCCCATCTGATCCTGTACAAACTATTGCAAAGAAAGACGTGTGATGCGTTGACACCCTGAACAAATGTCGTAAACCGCTGGTGCAGGGAGCATTGCATCATAAAAACGATGTCAACTTGAAATTCTGTAGGGACAGCAGGGTATGTGGAAGTTGCACACTCTGGGGGGGGGGGTTATGTACTCTTGGTAGTAGCAGGACAGTTCTGCTTTTGTGTTTGGGCGCCATGCGAATGAGTTCATCATTATTATTGTATTGAGTGTCGAACCAACTGGATGACATCATCGTGTTATTGTAGCCCGTTGAATGATGTCACCGTGTATTGTTTGTATTGAATAGCAAACCAGCGCTTGTGATGCTGATCCACAACACCCCTAGGTTACCAATAATATTTTCAAAACGAAAAGTTTTCGTTTGGGGGTGGGTGGGTTTGATAGAGTTTCGTTTTGAAAATAATTATTGAATGCAGATGGTGAATGCCCAGTTACGTCCGGGTGTCGAAAATTGACATCAATATTTTATTGGAATTCGTTTTACCTGCAGAAAAGGTGGATGGGTGGTGGGACTGAAAAATACTAAAACTTTTCATTTTGTAAAAACAATCGGTAACCCCGGACGGCCCCTAATGATGGTATAATTGCATAACATTTACGGTCAACCTCGTTAATAACAATGTCGCATATAACAACTCGTGAATCACGACACAATCTTCGAACCTAGTGACCACTTGACTGCATACGTTCAACGTCACGAATAACAACAACTCGCGAATTCCGACGCTTTTCTGATGCACGATCAAGGGTTGTTACTCGCAAAGTTGACTGTAGACATTTTACATGGGAGAGATTTATCCAGGTACAGCATAACACGTTATTTTCGGTGTAGCTTAAATTTCAGTAATTTCGGTAGAGAAACCAGGCGCCTAAATTTAGATTACACCTAAAAGGCACTGGACTATGCACTGTATGTGAAGGGAACGCTGGTTACCCATTTCTACATTACACCTGTTTGGACTCTTTCCCCTCCGGTGAAGACTGTATAATAGGGTGTTCATACTACGTTCCGAAACGGGTCACGTTTTGAAATACGCCGTACTGGCAGACGTCGTTTTCATGCCTGTGCATTCACACAAGCACGTACAGTCTGTTCGAACGGCTGTACGTACAGCTTTTGTGGACACAGCCAGGGAGTCGCATTCACGGGAGGTGCGGTCCTGGCCAAGGCGTGATACCACTGGATATTTGGAAAGAGAAAAGACTCTAAATGCAAAAGCGGAGTGGAGCTACGGCAATGATATACCAAAAGTGGCGCAGCGGGTACAATCGTACACGTGTGCATACATGAAATACCAGTAGCAGCCGGCCCAAAAAGACCAATAGGAGACGAATATGAACAAACCGTGCCACATTTGGATACTAAAACTACAAAAGAAGACAAACGCACACGTGGTGACAAGAGCTTTCATGGAACAAAATGAGCAACAGAACGAATGCAAGGAGACAGACAATCACAACGTGAACAAATGAGTTTCTCTTTTGTAGGGCTGAAACGAATGCTCAATGAAGCGAACGAATATTCTTTTTCCAAATACATGCGAAACGAAGAATATTCCGAATATTCTTAACCATGCAATTTCCATGGATACCTAGTTTTATCCATGGTAACCATAGACCATTAACTGGCATACACCCCAATAGACAAGTTCGCCAAAGATTGTCTGGGTTCGTGTCACGGGGCAAGGTGGAAATCGCGGATCACGGATCGCGGAACTTGATCGTGATTTTCACTGACAAGCAGTCATACTACTTGTAGTTGTCGAAAGTTTGTTTCATTTCCTGAGATGTCTTGTTCACGGGACAGATGGCTGACGACCTTCCCATCGCATCCTGGACCCTGGCTGAGCTGAAAGCCTTCCTGAGGAAGCGTGGTGCCTTTTTATCCGGCAAGAAAGCCGAACTTTTGGAACGGTAAGTAAAAACATATTTTGTCAAATAGGTTTTGAGAAAGTACGTCTGATTTTTTCCTCTGTTCTCTTCTTCCCCTGGCCAGTGCCGTGTTCTACAAGAACAACCCTGATGCCCCGCGAACTCGGTCATCAGTCACCAACGCTGACTCTCGTGCTGTGGCAGCGGAGGAGACAGCCAAAGCACCTTGCTTCCCCACGTCAGGCTGGTCGCACGATCCGTCCAGTTTTCCTGCAGTGACGACGTCGACTTTCATTGAGCACATGCTGAAATCTGGGAAATCGGTGCAGTGTGGAGGAGATGATGCAGGAGTGGTGATGGTTCGGCGGCCGTTGGAGAGAGGCAATGAGTTCTTCTTCGGAGGATACGTGCATGATGTCTCTGTGGCCACTAGTGACATGAACTCGTTTGTTGTTGGCAAGTGCTGGGCGTCACAGCACAAAACGACAAAGTACTGTCAGAAGCTCGTCCTTGCTACAGCCCCGGAGTCCACCAGTGCTACAGTAACGTATGCCACGTGTGAGGGATGTGTGGCTGGCGTCGATGGAGGCCTCTGCTCTCATGTGTTTGCCCTCTTGATGGTGCTGGAAAAGTACCGCTGCACTGAGGAGGCAAGGTCCGTCACGTCATTGCCATGCAGCTGGGGTCCCAGACAACGAGACATTGAACCCAAGCCCATCATGGACACTGTTGTCGAGAGGGCGTCCATGGAGAGGAAGGGCCCACCTGTCAAATGTTCCCTCTACGAGAGCAGGGAGCGAGAGCTGCGGACACCGTCAGTAGAGAATGTCAGCCGCTTCCGTGACTTGTTGCCTGATGGTTGTGGCATGAAGCAGCTGTTGCCACGGCAGTTTTCTACTGTGACAAGCTTGTATGGACCGACACCTCGTGGCAGTCCATTGGGTTACCAAAGGAATCCTGATCGCGCCCCAGTCGCTCCTCAATCACTGCCGGCGTCGACTAGGAAGAAACGGTTTCCGCCACTACCACTGCCTGCTCGAAAAGAACCCACTTCGATGGGACTTGTTTGGCCATGCAGCTTGCAGGATGCACAGGCGTTGGAACGCCGAACCATCGGCCAGTCGTCGAACAAGGAGTGGATGGATCGCCATATGTACACCCTTACTGCATCCAACTTCCGACGCATTGTGCACTGTAAGACTGGCCAGGAAAAGCTCCTGACGTCTCTATTCAACCAGCGCTCTTTGTCACACATTCCTGCCATCCGTCATGGGAAACAGCATGAGCGTGATGCTGTTGCCAAGTATCAGTCTGTCAAGAGTGCCAGTGGCCAGCCAGTTTCGGTACGAGATTGTGGTCTTGCAGTGGACCCAATGTACCAGTACATCGGTGCTTCCCCTGACGCAATGGTGTTCGACCGGTCTGCGCAACCTCCGTATGGGCTGTTGGAAGTCAAATGCCCGTACGCAGCCTTTGAAAAGTCTCTGACTGTGGCTGAAGCTACTGCCCAGGACAGCAACTTCTGTTTGGTAGAAGAGGATGGTCAACTGAAACTCAGCAGACAGCATCCATACTATACGCAAGTACAAGGTCAGCTGGGTGTATGTCAACTGCCCTGGTGTGATTTTTTTGTTTGGTTGGGACAGAGCTTTCACTTGGAGCGTATCTATGCTGACTTTGATCTTTATAGCAGCTCCATTTTGCCGGCACTCACTGCGTTTTATGCTGTGCATGCTTTGCCGTACTTGCGCAAGCTGGAACGACCAGTACCGCCTGATGTTCCAAGTAGTGCTCCTGTTCCTCCTGCTGCTCCTGCTGCTGCTCCTGCTGCTGCTCTTGCTGCTGCTCCTGCTGCTGCTCCTGCTGCTGCAAGATCCGCTGTGTCCCCCTGGTCGCAATATGAAATGTTGCTTCCCCCCGACTTATCACAGGCGACTATTGATGGTAGGAACGGCAGCAATGCTTGCACGATTATCTCTGCTGTGTTTATTCGCAACAGTCTTGAGGCTGCTAGTGCTGATGGTGCTGTCGATACCAGTGCTGCTGCCATGTGTGAAGCTATGCGTTCAGGCAACAGTATTTATGATTCTCTGCACACCAACGAACTCCTTTCATGTGATGAAGTGTTAGCACTCCAGCCAAGTGTAGGAGTAGATATGTGTGCTGAGTCATTTGTCCGACCTGCTGCTCTGGACACAATGGTGTCGTTGATGTCAACTCGCTCGCAGAATGTGGCTTCTTTTGCATATGGTGCTGTGTTTGTTGTCACTCCATACTCAATCTCTCTGTGTTCTTGCCAGGGGCGTTTCATCCTCTTTGACTCTCATTGCCATGGGGGTAGTGGTGCACTTCTTGCAGATGTGCCTACTTCTGAGGCGGCTGATTATCTCGAGTACTTTTTTTCACACTACTACCCTCGGCTGAACTTCAATGCTGCTGCTGCTGGTAACCCTGCAGCCCACGTAACATTTTTAGACTTGCGACAGTCTGCTTGTGCAACCTAGCTTGCTCCACTGGCTCGCTTGTTCTCTCCCACGTACTTCTTGGTCATTCCACTCCTGTACATAACTCTTTGTGCTGATTATCCTAACAACATGCTGCAACCTCATCCTGGCAGTATCTTCGCTTGTATATATCTTGACTTTGAGGGAAAGACATATTATATATTTATTTATTTTTAAACTCTCCTTGTCTTTTGACGCTTGTGGGTAGTGATGAACCCGAGACCATTGGTCGGGGGAGCTACTCTTGCCGCGCCCCACTCTTGTCCAATATGT